GCTACTAATGGAAGAAGAACCCAATCTAGAGCAATTTCTCTTCAGGATGTAAATGTATTTCATATCCTCAAAGTCACATTAAATATGTTAGAACCGGCTGTTATTCCATATGAGTTAATGAAGCCACATGTGGCTGGGGATAGAGACAGGGATCAGTTGAAAAGCTTGAAATAACTGGTATTGAAATTATGATGCCATGAAACCCAAGACACTGCAAGTGGATGCATCAAAAGAGAGAATAAGGGCAATATCAATGTAATATTGATGTGACTGATGCATCACAGTTTCTAATAGAAATTAAATAACATCAAAAACAACCACATTCAAGTACAAAAGGAAACCCTGGTGGCACTTTGCAGATGAGGCATTTTATCACTACGGTGAATAGAAAAGAAGTTGAAGTGCTGTAGAACTGGATCAAAACCTTGGAGATGGTACTGATGACTCTTGATACAAATAAACCCAGTAGGATAAAACGTTTATTATTGCAGTTATGGGACTGCGTTTAAGAAACTGCAGGGGGAAATGACTGTTTTGTTCTTTTCTTTTCAACACAGAAATTGTATAAAACATCTTGGGAACAGACAAGGGCATCTGGCTATGATTTTAGGATTGACGCCATCCCATTCCAGACAGCAAAGGCTTCAAGAGAGATTGCTAGTGATGTAAGAATTGTTCTGTCTCAAACACTTCCCAACCCTCTTCCCATGCCACCCCCACCCTGTAAAAATGGGTGAATTCTGACGTAAGTGAACCTTGTTCTGGTTTGGAAAATTGGTGACCCAGTGAAACCAAATGCCAGTTAAGTGCAAAGATTTCCAACTAAAGGCTCCCATTAATAATGTCCAATACCAGGCTGCTCTGTTTCACTTCAAAGAGTTATTCTTGGGAACGAAGCATATTATGATGTAGTCAAATAAAATAGATACTAGGCTATGAATAGTTAAAGCATGGTCTAGAATAAAGTGGGTCACCTTTGAACACAGAAGATCACAGCTGGCAAGAAAGCTGAAGACGGAGGAGCTTCATTGCTTGAGCTGTGTATTGGGTGTGCCCAAGAATGCAACAGTAAGAGGACCTCTGATTGCTTTTGAGAGATGAGTATTTTGGGCTCATTAAGTCTTTCTACTCCTTTAAAAATTAGCACAAAGGGCATTCTTCTAAAGTGTCTTGTTAGATTAGGAGATGTGTTTTGATATCAAACAAACCCTTGGTCTTTGTGCACTACAAGAAGCATTATTGATAGCTAGGGGAGGGTAAGTCATTTCATAACAGAATTTGAAGGTAATCTGAATGTGAAAATAAGATTTTCCTCTGCACTTCCTGCAGTACAAATACAGAGAAGCCTTCCTGAGAGATAGAGGCCAGCAGATTGGATTCCTCAGTGCAAATGATGATCCCAAAATCAGGCATGTCCTCAGAGTGGGGAAACTCCAGAGTGACAACCAATACAGGAGTGGATATGCCCAAAACAGGGCACAGTTCCAGAGTCACCTCAACCAGCCAGGATTCCTCCATGCTAAGAGAAGCCAGCAGCTTGCAAGCAATGTTAACTACAGGCAGCCTTTGCACCAATACACTTGTGATCCTGAGCAGCTAAATGTGAAGCATGCAAAGCAGGCCTACAAGCTGCAGAGCGATGTAAGTATAGCTGAGCGACACTGTCCTTCCAAGTGCTAGGCGCTGTCTGTGGCAATGTGCTTCGCAGACCTTACCTATCAACAAAATCACATTCTTGAAGGAACTACAGTCTGTTTGCTGAAAATGAATAATTTGTTTATTATCGACTCTGTTGCTCTTTATATGCTCTCTCTTGAATACCCAGGGCATGTGTTTTGATTAGAGCCAAACAAAATAATACACACTGGTGTATGTTTCATTCTCTCAGGTAAAATACAAGTCTGACTTGAATTGGCTCAGAGGCATTGGCTGGACTCCCCCAGGTTCTCACAAAGTCGAAATGGCGAGAAGAGCTGCTGAGTTGGCATACATTCGGGAAATGGGATTGCAGGGTGCTTCTGCTCAGTATGGACCAGGAGTTGTAAGTAGAGTAAACCGATCTTCTCACAAATCCCAGCAGCTCTGCTCTCTAGAAGGCAGACAGGCACACATCCTGTTTAATGCTTTTGAATGCTCTGTGGAGTCTACAGTTCTCCCCGTTATTTGAACAAAATATATATACTTCCCTCATGAAGCTTTGTGGCTTTGTGTACACCTTAATTTGAAGGAACCTTTCAAGAGAATTCAGCCCTGTCACAGCTGAGGAATTCCTGTAAGGACTAGGAAGTGCCACGGGATAGGATTTACTTATATTATGGGACGTGTTTCTTGGACGTTGTCAGATTTCCAAGTGTCCTAGAATCTCCATGGAAAGCAGAAATAGAGGTGGAAGGGACTCCCTGTACAACTCCCCTTCTCTTTTCCTAATTTCAGCAAAACACATTTGTGTTGCTGTGTAATCTCCACTGGCAACTGTATTGATAGGCTCAGTGTAGATTCCAAAAGCATAATGTGTGCTGTGGGAGGCTCCCCAATACTGTGGGAGGCTTTTTGCAAAGGGGAAATGCTCCAGCCTCCTCCATCTCTGTCCAGCCCAAGATGCAAGAAATTACAAGCTGGGATCTTCCAGGTTTTCCTTCTCCCTACCTCCACAGGGATGACTCCCAATCTGCAGTGTCCCAGCACAAGAGAGCAAAAGTCCATACAGGGACTTTGTAGACCGTACAGTTAGGAAACATTAAGTTACAACAAAAGAGATGTTCTGCACTTTAAATACTTGCTTCATTTAAGTTTTAACTTGGGCAACAAGTCAAACAATAAGCCAGCCCAAGAGAAACAGGACATATCCATGATTTACATTCCCATCTGAAAAGTTACTCAGGAAATAAATTATAACTGTGGTTGAGGAATGCAGGCAGCGGGGACTGCAGGCAATATCTTCTTAAGTCCTACATATGATAATGATCTGATGGTCCCGGGGAAATCTACAGGTGTGCAATCCACCTGGAACTCAGGCGTTTGCTGGTTTGCTCTTTATTTAGGGCTCAAATTAGAAATTAGGACTTGAGCACATTGAGTCCTTCGATATGTGTAGTATCTAACTTACATGAATGGCTCCATTTTTTGCACTTTTCCATTATAGAGATTTGCTCAGTGCAGAGCAGTGATTCAGATTTTTCTCATTTGTTTGCCAGTTGAGGTAATTTATAATATACAAATATTTTTATAGAGTAATTGTTAAAACCTTCTTCTGTCCGCTGGCTGTCCTCACAATTTAGTTGGGTTTGATTTAACAGGACCAATTGGAGATGGAAGGATCTCGGCAGGTCACAGTCAACCCTGATGCTTCAGAAATTCTGCAAGTCAAGAGAAAGAAAATGCAGCTGCATTAGAAGTAAACAGAAACATGACATAAGACAAATAGATTTTCATCTTGTCCTGCAAATCCTGTAGCTTTTCTAGTTTTGTGGGAAGCATAATAGATGGCATCTACGAACTTTTTGTTTTAAAAAGCAACATAAAGATTGCAATTTATAACATCTTTCTATTTTTGTGTGGATATTTTATCACTGTATGTATTACAGAATCTGATATTTATTTAAAGCTATACATGAAATTAGTACTAGGTGACTGGCAGGCTCAGCTTTGTACTACAGATGAATGAACCTGATTGGTAGAATATAAATAATTTGTAATGAATAAATCAGATGAATCTTATTCCATACTTGTAATCTTTGGAGATTTTTATGTTCCTGGATTATTGGCACCATTGACCTAAGAGATTACAAAAGCGTGATTCAGGTGGCTTAACAGATGAACAAGACAAAGGCCAGTGGAAGCAAAGTAATCATTGACTAACCAAGGGCACACCTTTTAGTGCACATCAGAGAATTTGTTCTTGATTGACAGGATGTATTCAGATCACAATTAGTTCTTCAGTCTTTTTAAAATATTCCAAAGCAAAAAATCAGAATTTGTTTGCTAGAAATTATGGCAACAGGGATAGCTATTGATAGATTAAGTAGCTGCTTAGAGAAGGTTGTAAACCCTGGAATTCGGATGAAAGGGACATTATTATTTTAACGAATTGACTGTTCACAAACATGTCTATTCTTTATATCCTTATTTAATACCAATCCCCTATTTTTCAAATTTCTGCATAGAGTTGCAGAATCATTGGGCAAAGAAATACACAATTCGACTTGCAAAACTTGTGAAAACCCAAGAATTATCCAATAGCTTTAGACCCATTTTTTAAGGTATTTAATATCCCCTACATCTCACTGGTATGAATTGAAGTTAAGCCCATATATACCATTGTAGATCTGGAGCATAATAAGTAATTATCCTCTAAATCAGGAATAAAATGGATAATTCTAACATTGATTTTTTTTGCTTTTTCAATCTGGAATGCATCACTGATGGAATTTGTGGTTATTTGCCCTACAGAAGTGCTTTTAAAAATAATTCTCCTGCCTGATCCTCCCTCCTCAGATAATTCCAATGGCGGCAGTCTTGCAAACATAGGCACATCATGATTTTTATGTATGTGAAAAACGGCACTGGCTTTAGGAGCACACACCAATAGCTTTGAGGTGTCAGGGTCCGATGAGTGCAGAAAAAACACACCTTAGCCAGGGGCATGAGGGGAAGAGGGAATGGGTGGCAGCAGCTGAGCCTGCAGAATTTTCAGGGCTTGAAAAGCAAAACTGGAAATTTTGGCAACTGTGGCTCTGATTTGGGGAAGAACTGGAGTTGCTTTACTTTCTGATCTGTTTTGCCTACAAAATGTGGGCTTACTTCAAAGCCCTCAACAGGAAGACTGTCACTGACATTCTAGCAAACGCTCTAAGGCTGTTTTTAAGATGGTGATGAGGGATGACCCGTGTAGGCCATGAGAAAATATCAAAAATGTTTTTGGTTGAAGAGGAGGCATTTGGGGAAATGAGAAAAATAAGTAAGTATCTCAAGCTTACCATTTGTTATTCCAAAGCTGTCTCCTAATGAAGTGACCTTGACTCAGACCGAATTTTGGACTTGATCCAACTGAGAAATGTTGTCACCTGGGTATAAATTCCTGGCTTGTTTTTTAACCCACACTTATCACCCCAGCTCACAAGGCCGTATACATAGTAGGAGCCATTTTCTACACAAGTTAGCGGGCCTCCGGAGTCTCCCTGACGAGAAAAAGCACACATGTTCAAAACATGAAGCAAAATGTTAACTAAAATAAGAATGCTTTTCTCCCACCATAAGACTTTGAAGCTGTAATGATGTTTTTTTCCTGTTGGATGTACCATCAGATGCTGCTCAGTTCCTGAGTAGGCTTGCAGTTCTGGAACCAGGTCAAATGATACGAAACTTTTTGGATGTAAGTTTTTGTTTGTTCAAGTCCGTAACGTGTATCTGACAAGGTCACATGAAATTTCCCAGGCATGAAAATACCACGCATTCAGAGCCTGAGCTCAGAAAGATAAAGACGTGATCCTTGGCATAAATGAAAACACTTGATCTCTCCCACATCCCTCAAAATAACTTTATTCTGAGCTGGTTGGTCTCATTTTTTGTTTTACTGGTGATTTCTATTGCAAAGTATGCTTGCAGTGGTAGTTTGCACCTCAGGAAGCATTGTTCAAACTCTTCCCTGTCTTACAAGAGTATAAATATGAACTTGCTTCACAATTGCTTTAGCTATAATGAAAAGAAATATCAATCCTGACTTTCCCTGCAAGTCTTAGCTCTGATAGTGACAATCAGATCAGAATTGGTGCTCATGGCAGAGGCCATAATAAAATTGAGAGAAAAAAGGCAAGTTTTGAGGTTATTATGACAAACTGCCTCGGAAGCCAAACTTTCCAGGCTAGTCTCTAGCTTCCATAGATCTGCCCATGGCTGACGGTGACAACATTAGCTCTAGGGATATACACCTCAAACTGTACTGAAGAAAGACGATGGCTGTTGAAATACACTGATGGGAGAAAGAGATACGTATGCAGCACCCTGCCAAAGCTATTACTCTGCACAGCCTGACTATTGACACAAAAAATTAGTGTTCAAATACAGAAAAAGCAACAGACCTGACAAGAATCAGCTCTGGGTCTCTGAAGATTTCCTGCACAAAACATGCTTTCATCCAGTACGTGATCATATGCTCTGGGTGCATTGCATTTCCTCTGAGAAATCAGCTTGACATTGGCATCTAACAGCTGACGGGGTACTTCATCTACAGGAAGTGCACCAAAAAAATGGAGTCACCTTCCTCCCAGTCCTGTTACATGTTGTCTTTGTTCAAAATAGGAGCTTGCTTGCCATTTGGGTGGGAAGGGGGAAGAGCAGGGGGGGATGCATGGGCTAGCCTGGGAAGAAAAGAAGTATCTGAGATCATAAGGGTTAGAGTTGGAGCCTGGAAGCTTCAGTCAGGACACCGAGTTGTTGCCTGAACAAAAGCAAAAAGTCAGGTATTCAGAATTTGGCTCTGATTAGCTCTACCCGTGCAATCCTGCTTTTCAAAGGTGCTGGCTGTCTGCAGCTCCCACGGGTCCCAATGGGACTTCGAGCTGCTCAGCACTTCTCAGACTGGTGCCATTAGATGTTTTAACACGCAGGCTAATGAAACAGATGAAAACAGAAAATCATACAATATTTAAGGGCAATGATTAATTATAGTGAATCTAAAGACATAACTTGACATCTAAAGGCAATAGCCAGAGTTTCAAAGCACTACATCTGTAGATAATTAAAGGTAGTTTATAAGTTTGGTTCTGCTTGAGTTTCAGGAAATATTCCATTTCTGCAGTGATTTCCTGAAATGCTAATAATAGCTCTGCTTAAAGAAGGAGCCATCTAGTTTGAACACGTACAGGGTACTTGATATTCTTTGTTGGGGGGAAAAAAAATTTCCCTGTACCCTTTTTAAGAGAGACTTTTTATTTGGAACTTTTAAAAAATGTCCATTAAATTCTGTTGGTGCATTCTGATCAAATGAACACGCTTGTCTCTTGTGGACTTCAATGAGAGTTACATCAGAAGGGAGAATTTGGTCCTATGTATCGTATCAGGCTGTATCAGTCACAAAGCACTAGGACACCTACTGCAGCCTCAGTGACACATTTTCCTTCTGCTGCTTTACAGCAACACATCAATCAGAACATGAGAAAATGCATTTTTCAGAAAATTGCCATTATCTTTTTTTAAGCATAGTAATTTCTCCCCTTAGGATTTACTGTGGGCAAGAAAGGTTTTGGATAGAGCTGGTTGAACTTGAAAAGCTTTGGATTTTTTTTATTTTTTAGTGCATCTGAAGATCCAGATGCTGTTTCTGAAAAGCTTTATCTGACCCAATGGGCTGGAAAACCATGTGAAAGTTCCTGTCTTTCTTGGTCCTGTCTTGAAACACACAAGCTGTACAATAGCCTCTCTCTTGATACCTTCTTGCTTCTATTGCTGGCTTCAGATGAAATCATGACATGGTGTGTCAGATGGCAAGCAAAAAAAATGTGTCGGGGATTTTTTCAGAACTCTGAAAGGTTTGGTTGGTCTAGCAGTTGGAGATTTCTGCTAATGAGTAATTTCCATGGCAGGGTTTAGCTGTCCGTAGTTTTGAATTCCATGTCTTGGTTTCACTAAGTACCTAGGTCTACACTTGGGTCTGGCAATTGCTACTGAAACTACGAGCTCACCTTGCCACGGAAGTACCCACCAAATCCAGCTAACCCATAAATACCTGTCTCTGTCACGCCCCATCCAGAAATGAAGCAGTCAGTCCCAACAGGAAAGGAGAAGTTAGGCAGACATGCTGTTTTCACATACTTTGTTTCCACTGCACAGTGACCATCAACTGGCTTCAATTTAAGTAGTGCTGGAGAGAAGACAAACAACAACAAAAAGTATTTGTAGCTAATTTTAGTTCCTAGCCATCGTTATCAGGCTGTGACCCAACCCTCTGCAAAGCTGCATATACCTGATGTGCTATTTGCACTACATGCTGGACCTGCCCCTATTTTTTTACCTCCCCCCACCAGTGACTTCTGCCTGCCCATCACAATTCACATCCCAAAGATTCAAATGGGTCTAAACCACAATTTGGCCTAATTATTTCCAGAATATATTCTCAATGGGAATCTTACATTGACTTTAATTGGAGAGAGGCACTTCAAATGCATGAGGTTGGAGGTGAGCCACATGAATATTCAGTGAAAGGGATTTACCAATATCATTGTGTGGGACGCCGTCCTTCTCTCTGTATTTGTAATGCACGATGATCTTCTCCACATCAAATATTTGCTCTTGATGCTCTCTCTTCTTGAGGTCTTGCTTTCCAAGGGCTACTTGGAGATTTTCTGTTGGTTGTCTGCAAAAAAAAAAAGTAAATTACATGCAGACATTGTCTATCAGTGGTGGTGAAAACCTGCATCTTTAGTACCTGGAAGTCAAGATATTGCTTCCTCTTGTAAAGCCTGGCCAGAAGATGTCCTAAGATCATTATAGGCAGGCTTAGTCAGGGACGCGGTGGTGTTGGACAATACATGTGCTCTTAACTTTTTGCAGTCATGAAATAAAATGATTTAAAGCTGCATGAATACTCTTTTCTCTGCATTTGGGGGCAGAGTAGCAGTGTGCACACAGTCTGTTACTGTGGCTGTGATGATGAGTGGTAACTCACGGAGCCATGGGAGTACAATTGCTTGCCATTGTCTGGGCATACTTTAAATCATCTGTGCTGGAATGATCGCCAGTGTGTGATTTATGAATTTCCACGGACAGTGGTTTCCAACCTGTGCAACAAAAATGTTGAAGGAAATGTCATATTCTAGGCTAGCTGGCACATAAACAATTGAAAGCAAAAGGCATATTTTGGCTGTTCTGGAGATCTTATTTATGATGTAATATGTGATGTTGCTTATGGTATCCCAATATCCCCTGAGTGTTTCATGGAGTCCTTCTCTCATACATTGCAAAACTTTGTTACATTCCTCCTCTTTTCCTCTCACACAACTATTTTAGCTCATTTTAGGTGAGTGGGGGGTAAGTTTAATTTGTTATTCCAGCAAGCACCGATTTAAAGTATATGTATATTTTCATGTATGTGTTCATTTTTTCACATATATGTTTTCCTTTCAGTTTGATTCCCAGCAATCGTTTGGATTGCAAATACTTTGGATTCCAAACTGTCTTTAATAACCATCCTGATTTTCATACGTTTATCTATCCTAGGTATAGGACATGCACCTACTCAATGCAGTGCCCAGCAGTAAGAACCCAGCATGCTTTGATTAGCACTCCACCACAGAAATGTCTGCTCCTTTTTGAAGTCTTTATCTGCAGAGATGCCATCCAGGGATGTTTGCCAGCTGTAGTCTTAGCTCCACCATAGATCCTCTTGAGTGTGCTTTGAATTTCTGGTTGTCCACATGTTTTGAATATTTCATTTGATCCAGGTGGGTCTATTGGGCTGTCTGTTGGCTGTGGGCTCTCTTCAGCTGTGTTGGAAGAGACAGCAGATGTATAATGCAGAAATAATATCAGACTGGAGGAGTTAAGTAACAGGGGGTCACCTGCTGCTCTGGACCACCTACAAGCTGCCAAACAGCTCACTTCTAATTCTTTACCTGTTCCTGAGCAGGGTGAAATATCACAGAAGTCCCATTCCACTTTGTGATTTTTTTTGACGTAGCACCAGGGTTTTTCATCCTCATCGGGGTTCCTGAAGGGAACAGTTGAGAGCATCAGCCAGCGGGAATGGGGACATCTCCACAAAACCAGCAAAGGAGCTGAGGATGCTTAGGGGAGCAGCCTCATGCTCCCATATGAGAGCCAAACTTCCAAAGATATTCTTTCATAAGATTTGCCAAAGAAGATGTCTGAGATAAGGGAGTGAAGCTTCTGCCATTTTGCTATCCCCATACCTATCTTAACCCTAAGAAAAAAGAAGGGCTGATTCAGGGAAATGAGGGCTGCTTCTAGAAGCCTCACATCAGTACAGTGACTTAGGGAATGCACCTCTAACATCCTGGTATTTTATAGACAGGCAGTGTCTAGAATGATGTGAGATCTTAACATCATCAGTTTGTCAAATTCATAAGCAGTTTGTCCTCAGTGCTCTCTTTGATATAGATCTCTACAATTGCTTCTTCAAAATATTACCTGCAGAAGTTATGTTCACCGATGCCATAAGAGTCAGCGTCCTCCATAAAGGCATTAATAGGGTAGTCCAAGAGAACATGGGAATTCCAGTGCAGGCAGGTCTTGCCATTCACTGCTTGGTTCACTCTTCCTCTGTACTTAGGGGAGGCCTCTTCATAACAGTCATCCAGTCCTGTAGGAAGGCAATGCTGATATGAAAATGACTTTTGTGTTGTTCCTTGCCCAAAATGGTTCCTCTTCCTTCCCTTCCTTGCCCTATGTTCATTTTATGGAGGATCAGAAGGACCTACTGGGCCATGTAATGATATCCCTTATCCTACGTAGGCCAGAAATAAGAGTAGTGTCCCAACATCTATCCAGCTTGAAGCTTGATTGACTTCAAATGCCTGAAAACTCTTTGCCTGGTAAAGACCTAGCAGCTAAGAGGTGTCTTAATGCCAAAGCAGAATCTCTCTGTCAATGGCCTGGGCAAGAAGTGTTATCGGCAGGATTAGACAGAAGTGGGAACAGAGCTGCTATCATGCTAGGGCAATGGATGAGCCAAAAGGAAGGTTGTGGGATTGTGAACCTAACCTTTAGGTGAGGTGGAGGAACAGTCACCTGCAATGTGGAGCAGGTAATAGTACATGGATTTTGACTTTTAAAAAAAAAGAAAAAAATCCTTCTCCTTGGAAACATATGTATGGTGCCCATGGTGGTGCTGCAGAGGCAGAAGGCTCCTCATGCAGGCTGGGGTAATCCCATGCCCTTGGCCACCCACCCGTGTCAGTGGCTGTCCTCCCAGCCTGGGGAATCACGAGCAACTGGACATGAATCTTCACTACTCAGCTTTTGGGTGTTTAAGGAAAGCCCGACGTTCCTTCTCCATGGGATACATGCAACCTCTGGGAAACGTGCTCGCTCATTATATACCAGTGGGACCTTGCTGAAGCACACTTGGAAAACATCAGTATGGGAACTGTTTTGAGCCCCTTTGCTGACGGTGGCTGCATAAGTCAGCCTCTTCCTCCAACACCCTCCCCGGGGAGACCGGTGCCCCAGGTGCAGTCAGGTACTTGGTGCGATGATGGCATCAGTCAGTCTGACTGCAGGGTGAAGCCAGCCCGTGGCTGTCTGGAGGCTTCGTCCCTCCCCTCTCCCCTGGAGCCATGACGTACCGATCTCACAGAATCTCCCTCTGAAAAGTTCGGGGCACTTGCAGGTGAATTTCGATCTGATTCTGTGCCGTACGCAGGTACCTCCATTTTTGCACGGGTTTGGTCTGCACGGTGAAGATGCTGTCAATGTGGAAAACACAGAACAGCCTTGTCACTCTGCTGAACGTTATACAGCCACTCGCATGCCCGATGGAAACTGGGGAGAGCTCCCACTTAGCCTCTTGCCTTCAAGTTCTTACGAACTCTTGAAAAACACTTATCATCAGGGGTCTCACCAGTGAGTGAGCCACCACCTTGAAAATCAAGCATGACTCATCACTGACCAGCTCCAAGGATGGCAGCCATAGCAGACTCAGGCTGGATGAGCAGGGCAGGACCACCCTGTGTGGTGGGCTGCATGTGATGTCCCACTGCTGACCGTCTGCGGTGAGGCGACCCCACCGGTGCTGTCCACACCGCAATTCACTCAGAGCCCTACTAAGCGGGAGCCTTTTCTGATGGGGCTGTGCTCACCTTGTTGGCAGTCGGGTGTCTTGTAGGGGTGATTGCAGCTGCACTGAAAATAAGGTGGGGTTAATGTAATCAGGCAGTCTCCCCCATGGCACCTCTTCTCCAAACAGATGTCCTTCACTGTGGAAAACAGAGACACGAGGTATTTCATCAGCATTTGCATGTGCGTAAGAGCTGTGCTCTAGCAGAGATCATGGGAGGAAACGCTTTCTCCTGACGCTCCGAGGAGGCTTTCATCTGTCTGGTGTGGACTTGGGATTTCCCTTCTCGTTCACATTATCTATGGAAAAAAATCTGCAGGACCAACGAGCAGCTCACCACTGCCCACCTGGCAGGGGATATAGAAGTGTTTTCTGCATACCTAAAGTCTATTTTACTGGATTCCACTTCAGACAGACTTTGGTCTGGACGAGAAGCTAAGTGTAAGACCTATGAACGTGGCTGTGGTGGGCTGTCAAAACCCTCACCCCAGCAAACAGTGGGTTTATAAAGCCCTGTGTTGGCTTCCATTGACAGAACCGTAACACTAACATTAGTTGCCAAAATGAGGAGTGTCGGTTAGCAGAAGAGCAATTACCTTTCTCGCACGTAGTCCCAGCATACGGCTCAGGGCAGAGGCAGCTGAAGCTGCTTCCTCTGTTTTCACACCTACCATTGTTCTTGCAGGGGTTGGAGGAGCATGGGTCTGCTAGGGTAAGGATGGAAATCTTTTAGTTTAACTTTCAGCTTCTCCACTTCCATTACCTGCTTTTTCTTCTCACATTTTCTGACTGCAGAAGGCTGCCTTCCTGACCACAGCATCCCGTGTAACAGGTACCACATTTACGCATCAGCTCATCAGCTGCAGGAGCAGCTATGAATTGCTGCAGAGCCTGTTGCAAGCTGTAACAGCTCATGGCTTCGGGTCTGGAGCTCCTCAGCTCCATTTGCCATGTCTACGATGGGCAAGTAATGGGGCAAGTCCCTTCCTTTGCTCAGGGCCAGATTTGCCTCTATGGCAGCGGCAGAAGCAGGTGCCTTAAGAGCCAGAGCTGGCCCTGGGCATCTACCTTCATACACTTGGTGTGGAGGTGTCTGGATTCAGCATTGCCCTGGTCGCAACATGGCACTAAATCTCCCCTGGCAAAGCCATCCACCACCATTATCCTGTATAACACCCCTGGGTGGCTATTGCTGCAAGGGAGCAGGCACCTGCTGAGAGTCACCCGCGTGCTGCTCCTTACACCACACTCAACATCTCCACTCCACTCCAGGCTGCCAGGAACCATTAGTGTTGGGGACAGCCCCATACCAGCTCTGCTTTCTTTGTACCAGGGGATAACCCAGGGGATGTTACAGGCAACTTCCCTATCTTTCCTTTTCTGAATGATCTCAAGGACCCTTTCCTGCTCTCCAGAAGTTTGGCAAAACAGAAAAAGAAAAGAAAAGAAAAAACACTGCAACTGAGAAAAAAGGAAACCTGCTCTACATTCGGTAGAAACATATATCCCATGAAAACAGCAATTACATCTTACAGTCAAATAAGCCCGTGCTTTTTTGTAGTAGCAATCACAAATGTTCTGCATGATCAGAATCCATCCTGTGAAACTCGGAGATAAAACACAGGCTCCTTACAAGAGAAATACAAAGGAGAACACTGCAAACAATCCTCCTAACTCATCCCTTTGATGCAGGCATTTCGAGAGCAGGCTGGCAGCCGAGGCCTGCCACGCTCACGCTGCAAACGCAGGGGTGGGATTTTACCCCTTCCTCGCCTCCCTGCCCACCCCTCAGAGGTACCTTTTCTGGTATCGCTGTAGCCAAAAAATGCCTCAAACCAGTCAGGGTCCTCAGAGGGCTGCTGCTGGGGGAAGGAGTCCTGCTCCGGTTGCGTGTACTCATCGTAGTACTCGTAGTCATCAGGCTTGTCTGCAGGGAGGGATAAGAAAAGGGTGGAAGAACAGAGGAATTAAAACTGCTAGAAGGAGAGGAGGTATGAAAGAAGTTATTCCCTGGGATGGACAGTCCTTTTCTCCTTCAGCTCCTTTGGGATGTCAGTGGGTCTAGAGCTTGCACCATCTCGAGGACCAAAGGTGCCGTTCAGCTCTTTCTTGGCATGGGCAGAGCTCACCCAGCACCCAGCATGGCCACCCCT